CTTACCAGCCAAAATTCACACGAGGCCGTAGGTGATACTCGAGAGTGCGGAAACGCTGAATATGAATGGGCAAGGTTGAGCGTGGGCAGGTAGTCATTACCCTAAAATTTTAGCTTCCTAGATTCCGTGGTTCTCGAGATATAATTTACCCGTCAAAAATTTTCATGGAGTCGTAGGTGTTACTCGCGGGTATAGGAAGGTTGAATTTGAGCTTTCTGGGTCGCGCGCGGTCAGGGGACATACCCATAAAATTTTAGCTTCCTAGCTTCCGTAGTTCCCGAGATACTGATTTTACTCGAAAAACTTTTACGGGAACGTACTTGTCACCCGCGGATACGGGGAGGCTGAATTTAAATTTGCCGCGTCACCCGTTGGCGGAGAACACTATGTCAAAGTTTCAACCGCCTAGCTTTTGTGGTTCCCGAGTTGAAAGTGCGGGACAAAATGTGGGACACACACACGCACACACACACACACACACACACACACACACACACACACAGACAACCCTGTGACAATATGCGTTTTGTACTGCTGTTACACAACACAAAACGCATAATAAGCGATGTCAGGACGGCCGAGAGTATGTCTCGAACAATGGATTGCAAATAGTTGCGTGAGTGTAACTGCCTCTTGTAAAACTGACGGAGCTTCTGGTTGTTCGTGTGGTCATGAAACGTGGCGGCTGGCAAAAGCGGGAGAACGAACTGTGGTTGTAGTCGACTGAGTAGCGGTGCTTAAAGATGCTTGAAGTCATGGCCAGCGTTCACTCCTGCAGCGTAATGGTACTAATGATTTGAGCACAGTCCTTTCGGCGCGACATTTTGAGCATCACGTTGGTGTTGCGCAGATTGTGTAAACTGGCAGCCTTCCAACATTCAGTCTGCGACCAGAAACTGAGATGCATGTTTACTTTCTGTCCGAGATAGACGTAGCTGTCAACTTCTTCCAAGTCAGCACCATCTTTGCGCACTCTGGTCGCTGCAACAACGACATTTTGACCTCCGTTTTTGTTACAATTAGTATTTACTACAGTGTTAATTTGTCCTACTCGTCATTGCTCAGAGGATCTTTTTTTTTCCTCCTCCCCCCCCCCTCGCCTTCCTCCCCAGAGAACTTGCAGTGTTTGAATCGCTCGCTCACTGGGTAGCCGCCAAGCACTATTCGGCTGCAGTAGCGGCGTTCTCGTGTCAGGATCCTTGCAGTCCTGTTGGCGGTGGTCTACGTGGTGTGTAATTGCTGGCAGAATTGCTGTGTTGCGATGGAGGGGAGTGCCTGTTCAGTTGTTCCAGTGATTGGAGATTGACGAGGTGGCATCGGCGGCGGTGGCGGCAAACCTTTCGTGCTCTTCCTCGATTTTGCGCTCCGAGATCCCGGCGTGTGCGTTGTAGTTGGTTGTGTATTTGCAGTGCTGACGGTGGGTTGGGTGTGGACAGCAGCGGCAGCACCAGCGGGGTCGGCACATCTCGTTCCCTTTCGTCTGCGGTGCATCGAGTTGCGTGTGCTCGGCAGTCATGGGAAGTAAGTTGCTCAAGTAATATTCCTGGAGTACCACTGCTCCGTCTCCCACGTTTTCTCGTTACATTTCCGATTTTTGCATTAATTTCACTGCCACAACCACTCGTTCGCGCCTTTCGATGGCAAATGGCTTTTAGCGGATGTTTGCCTTCTCAGCAAATTTCAAAAGAGCGTCGACAATCGTGCCGGCAAGTGGTTGCATTTGGCATTTTTTGGGGGTACTTCCGAGTGAGTCCTCCCTGTCAAGAAGAGTGAATGACGAGGAGAAGGGACTTTTTTTTTTTTTTGATTTTTTGAATTCCTAATAAATGTGAATGATCTTAACAGAAATTTGCTAAAAGCCAGTTTAGCGCATTTGGAGGAAATTGTCCAGTGGAGGAGGCCCGTTTCTTGCTAAGTTTCTTGGAGGTGCTGCTTCTGGGATAAAAAAAAATGTCGTGACTCTAGCATGAATGTACCATTTCTTAATAGTGCTAAACCGCGCGAGGAAAATCTCTGTGGACAGAGATGGTGGTTTTAGCATGCATCAGACAAGAAAAGAAGTTTTTTTTTTTTTTTTTCTGATAATAGGTCGTTTTTTTCTGAATATTTCTTAATATTGATGCCTTTTTTAAAATTTCAAATAGAAAATAAAAATTGTTTGCTGTTTCAGCTAAATGTGTAAGTGTTTGATTTCAGTAAAATTCCTGGAATTTGTGAAGCCGTTCTGCGGCTTCGTGCCGGAAGTGTCGAAGCCCGAGCGAAAAATTCAGTTTCGAGAAAAAATGCTATGGACAGCGATAACTTTATTCGTGTTCCTGGTTTGCTGTCAAATACCCTTGTTTGGTAGGTTGCCTCGCTCATCTCATTTTTCAAAAAAAGAAAAAAAAAAAAAAACGTTAACCCTTTCTCGGCCCATACGGCTTTTTTTGTAGGGACTTATTTAGACAGAGCTTAAATTTCATATCGATAAAACAGCCTTTCGCCAGTAATTCCCTCTCCCGGCAACCGAGGATTTTGGATTCAGTTTCCGTGCGCAGCATTTTCCTGTTGTTGATCATGATGGTAGAACGATTCAGAATTACTTTTGGAAGATGTCCCACTCACTTTGCTTAAATTTATTTACATGAAAACAAGGCAGGCGATAACTTCATCAAGTTTTGCATGTTAGAACGTGTTTCGAAGTAGTTCTTTTTTTTTTCAGGAATAATGTCTACGGATAGTGCAGATCCGTTCTACTGGCTTCGAGTGATATTAGCGTCGAACAGGGGAACTCTGATGGAGCTCGGTATTTCTCCCATTGTCACTTCGGGCTTGATAATGCAGCTCCTGGCCGGCGCAAAAATCATCGAAGTCGGCGATACTCCAAAGGAACGAGCACTGTTCAATGGGGCTCAAAAATGTCAGAAATCCAAACACTTTTTTTT